TTTTGCCATCCCTACTTACCCATCTTACTATTTAATTATAAAAATAATCATTTAACAATCTATTTATAATAATAGTCTTATATTTAATAATCAAGTGATTATTGAAAATTGAATGGTTAAAGTATATTTTTTTAGTAAGTTTATTTATTTATTTTTTCACTTTTTTTCATATATATGATTAAAAAGTAAAAATAATTATTTTAATAATAAAAAAATTACAATTCATTATGAGCCAGCACCTGTACCAACAGACATAGTAGGATAATAAAATAAAGAAGCCCGAAGAGTGTCCATGGGCCGGGAAATAGCCCAGATCCGAGAGAGTTCTATAAAGAGTTCTTTCCTCTTATAGTGGCAAGCGAGAACCTCTTGTTTGGGTAAGGTGGCGCAAGTGCTGAATTCACACAATTGCTTCACATGGCGGGATCCAAATCCAAATGCCAAACGGCTTACAAAATAAATAAATAAATAAATCAAAAGGCTTCAAAAATTAGAAGGACACTTTTGTAATTGTATGCGTGGGATGAGATTAAATTTGAACGGGTCTCTTAATTGCATCTCATCTCATTTTGAATTGAAACCGCGGAGCCGAGTAATTTGCAGCAGCATCGATCATCATGGTTAGGGTTTTTTTCTCCGATGCCTTTTTATCTTCTTCGTTTTCAGACTCTATTCATTTTAACGTGATTTCGTTCTCGAGTCGGATTCTGCATGTTTTTTAGATTAGGGTTTTTCCGAATTCGGGATCTCTTCAGCAATAAATCCTGTTGTTAAGCGAGGAATCCATTGCGCATTACGCTCATTGCTTTCCTTCATGGTTGCAGGACGGACAGGATTCACAAGACCCCAAGCAAAGCCCTGCTGATATGACTGCCTTTGTAAGCTCTTTTTTCGTTTTTATAAATCAATTATTTCCTATTGTTCCCTTCAATTTTTATCTTCGATGTGACTGCTTCCTATTTGCATTGTCAATGTGACCTCTTTGTTTTAGCTTCATGATGTTTTAATTAACGTTAGTCGTTTTCTGACCTTTGTCTACCCCACTTTGCTCTTTCCAGGTGCAAAATCTTCTTCAGCAGATGGTGAGTTGTATAGTCTAGGTTTTCAGAGCCGCATTTATGACTTTTTAGAGTATGTTTCACTGCTGCTGACTAGAATTTTGTTTCCAGCAAAATAGGTTCCAGACAATGTCCGACTCCATTGTTACAAAGAATATCCTTTTGGAATGCCCTTCAAGTTCTTAAAATAAGCTAGCTCTACGCTGCAATTTGTTAAGGAAACTAATTCAGGCAATGATAATTTGTGCTTGACTGCTTCTGTTTTTATCTTCCTTCTCTCCAGAATTGATATTTGATTCAAGGAGCTAGATCGGTTGGATTAGGAGATCTAGGGGGTTGTTTGGTTTGAGAACATGCAATTTCTTTTTTCTATTTTCAAAAGTTTGTATAGGAAATAGTGGAAACGACTTTTTTTCTGTTACATATCCCGTTCAGAAGTTTAAAAGCAGGAAATAAGTTGAAAATGATATCGCATTATTGTAACCTAACGTGATAATAGTTAATGACAATAGAAAAAGTTTTTCTTAAAACAAACGCCATAAGTTGGCTTACATTTTGTTGACATCTTACCTATATGTTACTGAATAGTCTTGCTAGGACTCACTTTGCACATTTAGTTAAGGAGTTAAATGGATCCTTGAAGTTTGTTTATATGATGTTAAACTGTGATCTGTGTTAGTTTCAGTTCACTTTGTTTCATTTGATTAATTGTGTAGTTCTGTTATATATAAATCTATTTCTGTTTTGTAACTCACTGGCAACACTTAAATGCCCGTGAAAATGGGTTCTTGTCATCAATGCTCAAGCCAATAACACGATTGCATTTATACACTGTTAGGATCTAATTTTGTGCCTTCACCTAATAGCTTAAGCTGTTGGGAGGAAGAATACCCACATACACAACAGCCTGGGTGATTAATTACAACTGTGCACAACTGCATCTTGACCTTTTTCTTATGAACACAATGCAACCACCTGTGCGGTTGTGCACAATTTGTGTATATACGGTTTCATGTTATTGGCTGAGGCAGGATGGCAGTTCTCCCAATTTTATTAAACAAGTGTTCTAGACTTGCTATATACATGAACTCTGGAAAAAAGATGTTTTTCTTGACGTTAGTGCACTTGATGATATGGGAAACCGTATAAATGAGTTGGAACAAAGCATCAATGATCTAAGAGCTGAGATGGGAGTGGAGTCCTCTCCATCACCTGTGCCCACTGCTAAGCCAACAGAGGAAGAAACTAAAGAAGAGGGTTCAGCTTAAGTGGCGTTCTGGTTACAGTGATCATTGTTCATGTATTGCATTGCACAAGGATTGATATTCTGTATCTATATTTGTCTGCTGAAGTGGTTCAGAAAACAGAGTGCATCTGATCATTTGTACCTTATTCGTATTGTTTTTCTATGATTCAAGGGTAAACCTATTTTTTACGTTGCAATTACTTTGTTGCATCCTCCCCTTTTTTTACTCATCATGCTCTGGGTGGACGAATCCATACCCCCTAATCCAGGGGTTGCTATACAAATATTACGCACTCTTTTTTTTATTATTGAATTTGCCGTTTGTTTTCAAACTTTTGATAGAAAACTAAGACACGAACTATGTGTACGCCCCTGTGCAATGCATAGATTATTCAATATATCTGACCCTTCTAATGTTTGACGAGGGTGAGTTCTTTTCTTCCTAGGTGGGATTGGAATCCAAGTAAAGTGTACTTATTTCAGAACGAGTTGAAACATTTTTAACCTGAAGAAACCCAATGGTGGTAGATGTGTTTTCTATGATACAATACTTCCCCTTCTAAAAAAATCAAACACAGATTCTTTCGTTCTATTGCAGATGGTGTCTGAGAAAAGAGCGTAAACGACTAAAAGATTCGACATTTTATTGGTTCAGAAGCAGAGGAATTGCAGATGCAGAGTTACTATTATTATTGTGAAATTCATCTATCCAAAACAGGTAAACATTTTGGACCTCGCCATGGAAAGACAGTACGGTCTTATTGTGTAGTGCTCCCTAATGCAATTTCGTTTTTGTTTATTTATTTCCCATTCTATTGTCACATAAAGACTACCTTTTCTTGCTGAAAGTGGAGTCTGTTCTGACTTTCTTTTAAACACTGAACTTTTAGAACCAAATTAATAATAATTGTGGTGATTGCAATTTTCAATTCTTAGTTTTCAAATACATTTTCCAATTGTTTTTTTTTTATAACTGTACTGAAAATAATCTTAATTCAATTTTGAAGCACTTCAAAATCAAATTAATAAAAAAAGATTAGTTTTAATTTTTGTTTAAAATAATGGTTAGGGACCCCCGCCCCCTCTTTTTTTTTTTTTTAACGAGTGTATTTATTCCTTTCTTCACGGAATAAAAATAGAAAAAAAAAATACATAGGAATAATTATTTACTAAGCAACTATCAACGAGGGAGGAAGGGAAAATAAAGAACAATCAATACTCAGATCCCACAAGAAAGGGCAATAGGCATAGCCGCAGAGTTTTGTGGTGAGATTGAAATTCCTCCTATGAACTCAGCAAATAATTTTAGTTTTATAAATTACTTAGAATTACAACTATTAAATGTTGTATGGGTTTAATTTTGTGTTTATATTTTTAAAGAAGTATTTGTTTTATAAAATTAACAAATTTAAATTTTTTGTTGTTTTTACTTTTTTTTTATTATTTTAAAATAATTATTTTTCAATTTTTTTAGATTAAATCTTATCTGCTATCGTGTTATTTTTTTTTTTGTCATGAATGATTATTTTAAGCTTAAAGGCATATTATTTTCCCCACTACATCACTAACCACTTGCCATTTGATGATCGATTACAGCAATGTTCTAACTATTTTTTTTATTGTTATTAACTATAATTATCGTCAATATCATTATCTTATACATTATATTACTGCATTTGTTGTTATTACTATGATAGATATCATTCTTACTAAAAGCTACACATTAATATAAAAAAATATAAAAGTAAAAACTGATTCTAGTTTTGAAGGATTTCGTAATTCAGAGTTGATAATCACACAAAACAGGGTTTGAGAGACGGAGATATTTTAATTGAACAAATACATCCCTAGCTGAAATTAGAAGTTACTTTTCTCAAATTAGATGAATCATATTCATCTTTTTCGCCTTAGATTTCAAGCAAATATGGCTGAAAATATTTTCTTAACATAAATAAAATCTATTATATTAAATTTAATTTACACTTGATTTTTGTGTGTGAAGTTCCGTGTAGTACAATAGTTTTAAAGCTTTAAACTGGTAAGCGCCGCAAGCAGGAGCCTTAACTAGATTCAGTTTTGTTGATAGTAATGCAGTGCTATTATAAAAGGAGAACATATACACAGGAAAATACAGTTATATATATATATATATATATATATATATATATATATATATATATATTCTTATTTTCTCTGTTATTTATTATTATTATTATTTTGTATTTGTGATTTAAACAAATATCTTTGAATTGCTTTAATAAACTTCTTGTTGTTTCTTATGGTTTCTTCATCCTCCATTTCCAGAGCTTGCTAAAACGCCGAATTTATCTATGGCAAGTTAATATCTTGGGATTTTAATTGTAATTTTAGTTCAAATAATAAGAAGTCTTATAAAGAGGCACGAGAGAACACATTTTACATACGTTTTTGTGGGAGACATAAAGAGAGGCTGTTAATTCGAAGCAATGACTCAAACCAAAAGTTTATGCTTTGTGGGTCACTTACAAGACAGTATTCAGCAGACAAGCTCCGTACAAAGATATTTCGTGAAGACTTTTCTTAAATTATCTTCATTTTAGATTCTAAAATAATGTTTTTTTCTTGTCCTCATAAGAATACCAATTGTAAAAAACTAAAAATAAAAATTAGAGGGCAATTCAAGTACCATTTATAAAGAATGAGAGTTGGAGTGCCAAGGTATCAACTTTATATTAAATTTCTTTTACATATGAATAAATTTCTTTGTTCTATTACTAAATATAAAAATGATTGGTTGTCCAGTTCATAATTCATTTTTTTCTAATGATAGTTGAAATTATGAAATATGATCTAATTTCCTAATTAGAAAAACACAAGCACTAGCATAAAAGAAAAAAATAACTATTAATTTGAAAAAAAAAATAGGGATTACATGAGAGTTGATTCCACTAAACCAAAACGAAACTTAGCTACTCATAGTCATGGATGAAAAATCCTTAAAAAAAAAAGGGTGTTTTGCTCGGTCTCAAAGCGTCTAAAAATAGGCTAGGAAAAATTATGTATAAAATATTTCTTATAATAGTTTAATATTGATACTTCAATTGTTGAAAAATGGATCGTTTTAGTGATAACAGAAACGTTTTACTTTTCTTCTCAGGTTTAACATAAATTACATAGAAATGGATTGTTTAAGCCCTCACAAAATGTTCATTCTTGCTTTGTAAGACTAAACTTAAGTTGTTTAATTTCAGAAAGTTTAATTTAGGATTGTATAGTGCTTGATTGGTTCAAATTTGATTAAATATATTGAAGAGAGAAGAGAAAAAGAAGAATGGTGTAGTGTAGGGGTGCATATATGCAAGTTGCATAGGTGTGACAGTCTTTATTCGCCGCATTTACTGGTGAAGGGTGTAGAGTGAGAAGATGAATTTCCACTAAGACCATATATGCGAAGAAAGGTGAGTTCATTCACAGTCACAGTCACAGTCACAGTCATAGATGTTAAAGATATGGCGTAGCATTTCATGTTTTACCAACAATATCAGACACCTTCCATGAAAGAGGTAGTAAGAGTAAACATATTAAGTAATGGTATACGTCACATGACACCCATTTACATTTCAAAACAAAAGATGCCTACTTTCACACTCCTCATTTCGCACATGTTTCCCTTCCATCACTGTGTCTTAAAGGTTACATCCACTAAGCTAGTTGTGGACAAGAATGCTAACCCACTCATCAGGTTAAGGATTGTTTTCATGTTGCATTCAACCCTTGTCAAATAGAATATTATTTCTAAGAAGCTTTTGGAGGACACACAAATCCTCAGGATGGTAACCTATGTGCTCACCTAGTCACTCATGCAAAAACCATCACTTTTTTCCCTTGCACCATCACTACTTCCTAGAAATAGCAAAGAAAATTCACCACCTTACCATTATTGTCTCGCCAGAATTTTCATGTGGATAACAAGCAGAGCACCTGCAATGCACATTCATTAAGCCAACCAAGCAACTATAACACAATTCAGTAAAGGCATTGATATGATGTGCAAAGAGTGTTGTCACACTTTTCCTTCATCACATCTTCGACAGTGACACTAGTTGTTCTCCTTGTGGATAAGGATTTGTGCGTGTTCAGTTCAATTCTGGTTCTGTGCTACTTTTCTTTCTGATGTTCAATCCACCCCTTACAAACCTTACATTTCACTCTAGCTTTGTAGGCTATCAAGAATAACTTTTTATTGTTTTTTTTTTTTAACCAATGGACGCTATCAATGATCTTTTGATGCTTGCAACTAATTTGCCTAAACGATATTTTTAGGACTAGCATCAGGTTAAATACTGGCTTAGTTATAGAAAGAAATTACCTGATGCTTCAATTTCTGGTACACCAACATGTTCAGTTTGAAAACACGGTGAGAACACGAATATATCAAATTATAAAAGTGCAGAAGAGAATATATACATGTCCAATCATGAACTAGAACCAGATACTTTGTTACACATACATACCACCATCTTCGGTGTTTGATGTTCCTGCTAGCAAACCTGAAGAATAGACAAATTAACTTCCTTGTTTAACCACCAATGCAGTATCAAAGCTATAACATCGAACCTCGCATCCTTGTCCTGTGGATTATTCAGAAATGAGAATACTGTTACCTTCTGCTTTAGCTTATTCTTTCTATTTGTCTTTCACTCATAATATGCAAAGTTACAATAGTCCCTGACATAATTGTGGGTATCCGTAATGATACTGTACCAATCAAATTATTCCATTCAACAAGTTAAGAAGTTTATTCTAATCTGACTAACACAGAACATCTTGGAGGACAACAGTACAGTGTACAAGATGTTTTCTCACACCCAATTGATGGAAAGAGTGATGAGGGGGGCATCATAATCATAAAACCATAAAATTTTCCAGATCATGTGCTCTGTCTAATTCTCATTGTTACTTGGCACAGGTAAGCTTTTGGAAGTTATGCTATCTATTATGCAACATTTTGCATGATTATTTCCATAGAATGTACCCAAAAATATTATTTTGGTAGAACCTCAGTTCTGATATCACTGAGCTAAGTAAATGTATTATGGGGATCACATCATGAATGGCATCAGCATTATTTGTTTCCAACAGGGTTGCACTGATGTAAAGATAAATTAAGCAAAACAAAAAAAGAAATGAAAAGAAAAGAAAAGAGAAGATTTTTTAAGAGGAGTTGTTTCTGACCATATCAATAATAGGACAAAACTTGCAAAAAAGTTTTTAAGGTAGTTACGGTATTATACTCCAATAAAAAAAATTGTGTATTGTTTTTTTTTTCTTTACCTCAATTTTGGGACATTCAAATGAAGGATAAAGTGACCAAAAAATAAGACAAAAATGCTTTTTTTTTTTGAAAAATAACACAAGAAGCACCAAATAACTTTATGAAATGATATACATAACTATCTATAAATAATTAAACACACTAAATGCATTTCACACCAAGTGAACATTAAGTGCTATACTCTACTCTTGCGTGAGTTCTTCTGTTCCTTTCTGTGACCATGGACGGAAAGAGATTAGAGTACAAAGGTGAGGAAGCACTAAAGGAGATAGAGAGGCTTACAATGAAGGCTTCTGAAGTTCAGGAAAGCCTTTTGAAACAGATCTTAACTCAGAATAGAGAAACTGAGTATTTGAATAAGTTTATGAGGGGAGAAAAAAATATAACGGACATAGAAGAGTTTAAGAGGTGTGTTCCAGTCACCACTTATGAAAGAATCTTCCCATATATCCAGAGAATTGCAAATGGGGAAGACTCTTCTCTCATCACTGGTCACTCCATAACAGAAATGTTATGCAGGTAACTAACTCTGCTACTGCTAGTATTTGTTCATTATTTCATTCCTTTATCACAAGTTTCTGCTTGTATTTTATGCAATCAATCTTTATCATATATTATGGTCTGTGCAGTTCAGGGACATCAGGTGGAGAGCCTAAAATAATGCCATCAATTGCCGAAGATCTAGAACGCCGTACCTTTGTGTACAATCTTACCATGCCAATCATAAATCAGTTAATAATATATAACAGTAACATCACATCTTTTTATTTCTTGGCCTTGATTATGCACATATACACTTATTAGTCATACCCTTTTCGTTGCATTTGAATTAACATTTCAATATTCATCAGAAGTTGCCTAAAATTCCAACATGGTTGAAGCTTATTATACGTGCTTAACTTTCCTTCGTAGCAACTTGATTCTTTGCTGTGTTTGATGTCATCACGGTTGGGTTCTCCATTCTAAGTATATGGCCAAATGAAAAAAGATAAGATGAAAAAGGTATGACGTGACAACTATTCATTAGAGTAGGCGGGTGGAGGGCCCATTACCATGCATAGGTTACGTTTATATTTTGGAAAAAAAATATGATTCTTCGATTCTTATATTTGAGTCATACAAAAGGCTCATATATAGTGCATGCTATCTAGCTAGTGCATGTTGACATGTATTTCATTTACGCATATTTTCAATTGCATTAATCTTCCTGAGTTAATCACCACATACCATGCCAATAAGAACGGCCAAAAACATATCGCAGTATAGTTAAATTCGTACTAGCTAGTACCTTATAGTATCAGATAATATGATCTTTGGTAATGGGAACATTGTATATATGAACATTTCTAATAATTAACTGATGCATGCTGAGTATTTCATCAATGTAAACCATTTTCCCAACTATATCTCCTGCCATCTTGAACATAATTAGCGATCAATGTTTAGGTACGTTTCTGATCTTGACGAGGGCAAGGCTATGTATCTGTTCTTCGTAAAAGCAGAAATGTCTACTCCTTGTGGCTTACCTGCTAGGACAGTGTTAACGAGCTACTACAAGAGCAAACACTTCAAGTGCCGCACACACGACCCTTGGAACGATTTCACAAGCCCTGACCAAACCATTTTATGCAATGACAGCAATCAAAGCATGCATTGCCAGCTTCTAGCAGGTTTGGTCCACCGCCGCCAGGTCCTAAGGCTCGGTGCGGTCTTTGCCTCTGCACTTCTTCGAGCCATTTCCTTCCTAGAACGAAACTGGAGGCACCTATGTGAGGATATACGCACTGGCCAACTAAGTTCCTTCATAACAGATCCTTCATGTCGCTCATGCATGTCGACGGTGCTTGCAACCCCTGACCCTCGTCTGGCTGATGAGATCACAAGAATCTGTGGCCAAAAGTCTTGGAAGGGGATTCTGTGCCAGCTTTGGCCTAAGGCCAAGTACATAGAGGCTGTGGTCACAGGGTCCATGGCTCAGTATGTTCCTGCTCTTAAGCATTACAGTGATGGGAAGTTGCCTTTGGTTTGTACCATGTATGCTTCATCTGAGTGCTACTTTGGGGTTAATCTGAAACCTCTGTGTGATCCTGCCGATGTTGCTTTTACCCTCTTGCCTAACATGGGCTACTTTGAGTTCCTTCCTCTTGGACATAACGGGACATTGTTGATGGACTTTGATGAAGGTGAGCATGTTCCCAATGATAAGCTCGTGGATTTGGTGCATGTCAAGCTTGGCTGCTTCTATGAGCCCGTGGTCACTACCTTTGCTGGTGAGTTCCCAGATTAATTGACCCATTTCCTATCTAGTTCATCATGCCTTCTAATCATATATGTTCACACACAAGGATTTATTTCTCTTGATGGTATCATCTAATAACAGAGTAGTATTGCCAAATAGTTATTAACTAACAACCGTTACCTTAGAAGCCTTTTCCTTTCCTTCTAATAATATGCACTTGAACACAAGTAACTGTGTTGGTGTAATAATTGGAATAACAGAATGTATATGTACTGAGACTGAGAAATGAGAGTAGATCATTTGATTGTAAAATTATTCACTAAATAATCAGTTCCCATTTTGATTATAAAATAATCATACATTTCCATTATTTGATGATTATTTAGTAGAAAGTATGGTTTACTCAAGTACAGAAAAGTTGTTATGTACTTGAGAACTTCAAGTAACCATTTGCTACATCATGATCATTACACTGACCCGTGAAGGAAATTCACTAACTCAATTTCGATTTATTTTTCGTTGGACACCACCATGACCCGAACATCTAGGGCTGTATCGATACCGCGTGGGTGACGTGCTGCAGGTGGTGGGATTCCACAACAAGGCCCCACAAGTGCGTTTCATCTGCAGGAGAAACGTAGTGATCAGCGTGGACACTGAAAAGACGAACGAGGAGGACCTGCACAGGAGCGTGAGCATGGCGAAGAAGTTGTTGGAGCCCTACGACGGGCTCCTAGTGGAGTACACCAGTTACCCCGACACGTCTTCGGTGCCAGGACACTACGTATTGTACTGGGAAATCCTTCACTGCGGCATAAAGACAGAATCTGAGAACGAGAATGCAGTAGTACTTGACGGAAGTGTGCTTGAGGAATGCTGCATTGCAGTGGAAGAGCAACTGGACTACGTATACCGACGGTGCCGGAGCCACGATAAGTCGGTGGGGCCACTGGAGATACGCGTGGTGGAGCCAGGAACGTTTGACGCTTTGATGGACTTGTTCATCAACCAAGGGGCTTCCATCAATCAGTACAAGACTCCCCGGTGCATCAACTCCAAGAAGGCACTCAAGTTACTCAACTCTAAAGTTTCTGCCTCCTTCTTCAGTCCTAGAGATCCCAAATGGGTACCCAAGATGTGCTGAATCATGCAACTTCCATTCTCATGTCATGCTTCGTTTCTTGCAAAACAACTTGCCTTTCATATCAACCAATTTCTACTCATTGCGATACATATGCTCTTCTCTGAATTCAACCAAAAATAGGGCAGAGACTAACATTGTAAGAACTGCTACATCTTTTATGTAAAATTGTCTCATCAGAGTAAGTAATTCTCTTACCCAAACGCTATTTTTCTTGATATAAATTTATCACTATTATTATGGCTGTAATTTAATTTTCATCAGTACTCTAATCATAATATGACCATATATATTCACTGAAATTAATCTGACAAAATAGAGATTTGTCATAAATATAATGTCAATTTCTTTATAATTATTAATTTTAAATGTTTTATCATGAAATTATTAGAAATTGTGTTGATTTGTAACTGGCACAAAATTACTTCTATATCGTAATAATATAGGCAAATTATTTTTTAAATTATTAAATTAATTATTTCATTACCTTTTAAATAATACAAATTAAAAGTATAGAAGAATTATCTAACTATGTTCTAAATCTAAATATCGTATATTAAATTATTTCAACTGTTAGTATATCTTCAAGAATTTTGATTCGGCAAAATAAATAATGAATATTAATAAAATAAAAAAATTAATAATATATTTTAGAAATATTAAAACATAATGAGTATCTATAATTAACACTTAATTATAACATGAAATGAAATTATACTAAACGTTAAAATTAATTTATAATGTCAATAGGATTGACAATCTATTGGTATAATATTATTCCTAATAACTTTTAATAAAAAAGAAATATTAAAAGAAAGCAAAACAAAAAGTACAATAAAATATTGCATATGATATGATTAAATATTTTAAAATAAAGTACAATAAATTTTAGTTACCATGTTTTCTTCTTTTATAATTGTTAGTGGCAAATCGAGGAAAGTGATCGAAATCGAAGGTGTGACTTCGATAAGATTCAATCGACGTCTAATTAGAAATACGTAGCATACAAGCATCGAGGAGCACAATCAAGAATCGAATGAATAATAATCAAATGACTGTTGTCGAATAAAAACTAAGTCATATAAGACCAGGGTTAAAAAGGAATCGTAAGCAATTCAAAGTTCTCGAAAAATACCGAATCGAGAGTAAAGAAAGCCAACGTGGACATCGAGACTTTGGCCAAATCGTGAAAGGAAGACGAATGCACGTATAAAGAGCGGTTTTGAAATCATGGGGAAAAAGTCGGAGATCGTGAGAACGTGGGAAACTACGGAAGATAAAGCGCCATACGCACGTAGAACGTGGTAGCGATCGCGTTAACCGCTCTCGGAAAGCTTGAAGGATGCCCTATAAATAGAGCAAAGGAGAAAGGAACGAGGAGCAAAAATTGGCGGAGCACGAGAACCGGTAGTGAAAAGTCTACCGGAGAAACGACGAACACCATGAAGCTTACGGCGATGCTGGATTTCCCTGCTCACGGAGTACATTTATCGCTTTACGTATTTTCCTTGGTAATTTACTTTGATGCAACTTAAATTCAGCAGTTTTATGTTTACGTATTTCGATTCCTTGTCCATTTCAACTCAATGAAAATTTGAGTTTACGCATTTAGATTTCCTGTTATTTAACATTACGCAAATCTCAATTTTCTGTCATTTACTTTTCTTGCAATCTCGATTTCTTGTCATTTATATTTGTGTTGTTTTCGATTCCTCGCTATTTACAATTAATGCGAGTTTGGGGTTCTCGCATTTTACATTTCCTCGCAATTTAATATTCTGCTTTTCTATTCGATAGTCTAAATGTTTTCGATACTTTAAATACAAAATACCAAAAGCGAGCATTTTCGATATCCTGGAGTTTTCGATTCTCATACACATTTTCGATTGAAAATCAAATTGCTAGCCTAAGTAAAAAGAGCTTACGTGGTAGAATTTTGATTAGGACCAAAACACCCTTAGAATCAAAATCGATCGAAATTCCACGAGAAACAAATTGGCGCGCCGAGTAGGGGTCTGTGTTGAAAAAACACAAAAAAGGTTAGTTCGAGAGTGTATGAGATTAAGAAGTGGGAGAGTTATAAGAATGAGTCGGAATTCATCAAGTAGTCGGAATAACAATGAGGGTCTAAGTGGTGTGCTCTCACCAAATACAGGGGGCAAGGGCACAATGGGAGTATGCACTGTAGTATCGACAAGCTGTAGGTACGTCGATACCAACAAGTAATGAACAAAATCCAGGAACATTGGCAAACACCCATATAGGGTCTAGTATGACGATACCAAACAATATGCAAACTATGGGAAACCCCATAACCACTTATGCGAGGGCCATATACGAGTGTAAGACCACCTGGTTTTTCACCCAATAACATGAACGGAGCGGCACTTCGTCGATACATAGAAATTCACGATATAGCTTAGGAATGCCTCCAAACGTAGGTACATTTCAAACCCTAGGCATGCCGCAAAACTTTGGAGTTGCTTCACATTTAGGGACGTCTCAAAATTCAGTGACATCACAAAACTCAGGGAGTGGGCAAAATTTAGGTATACAACAGACATCTCCGAATCTAGATCCTAGAGGGAATCCCGATCATGGGAGGTATGCATTTGATAGGGACTATCATCGATCTAATTTTGAGAATATCGAAAATACCAATACTTGGAATTTCCAGTAACTCCCTAGGAATACTTAGACAACAAATGGATGAGAGTAATTTTGAAATGGTGAATATGTTATCACGAGCAAGTTGACTACGGTCCTAAACCCATTAGTTCAAAATACTACTTGCTAGTTTTGAGATATTAGCAGATCAAATGTCTCGAATTGGAGACGCATTGGCTGTACCTCGACAAACGAGGATGGAGAATCATGCCAATCAGAATATTAATCCCCCTTATTTATTAAGAAGGAATAGGAACAATGATCAATATCAACAAATAGGGAATGAATATCAACATGTGAGGAATGATATTTATGGAAACATGAATGAGAGACTTCAAAATATGTGTAATCAGAATAATATGCAATATAATCACATGTTAGGACAAAGGATGAATCTCCAAGGGATGGATTTAAGATCACCTAATCAGACATATTTTGTATCTCCTTTTCCAAATGCGATTCTCGAAACAGAGTTGCCTCGAGGATACAAAGTGCCTAAATTTACTAAGTTTGCTTGGAGAAGTTGGTGAATCAACTATCGAGCATGTAGCTCGATATCAAATCGAATGTGGAGATCTAGCGATGAGTGAAGAGCTAAAAATGAAATATTTTCCTAGTTCTTTGACTAAGAATGCTTTTACTTGGTTCACTTCATTGCCACCCAATTCGATATACAATTGGTTATAGTTAGAAAGAAATTTTCATGAGCAATTCTTTAGAGGAGAGACTCAAGTAAGTCTCATTGATTTGATGAACATAAAACGATATAATCATGAAAACATAGATGATTATCTGAATCGATTTAGACAAATGAAATCAAGATGTTTCACTCAAATTCCTGAATATGAATTAGTCAGGATGGCTTCCGCAGGTTTAGAATTCTCGATCAGGAAAAAATTAGTGAATTTGCCATTAAATGACATGGCTCAATTAGCTGATAAAGTGAGAAGAGTGGAGCAAATCGAATATGAGAAACAAAGATACAAGAAATTTGAGAAACCTGTGAAAAAAGAAAGAATAGCCTATATAAATGATGTGTATGAGGTAGATCCTATGACAGAAAGTAATATCGAAGAAAATGTCGATGAGAAAGTAAATATAGCAGAGCTCAAAATAGGAGCTCCATATACGTGTAAATTACTACAGAAGAATGAAGTGAAAGATAAAATGGCAAATCGAACTTATACTTTCGATGTAACAAAGGCGAGATAAGATCTTCGATATTCTATTAAAAGATAAACAGATTAAGTTGAGTGACGATCACAAATTGCCCTCTGCGAGAACAAAGAAGTGGTCGAAAGTATTGCAAATTTCATAATGTTTATGGACACTTGGACTAACAATTGTATACATTTCAGGAACACGATCCAAGATGCGATCGATCAAGGAAGGTTGAAGTTTGGAAAAATTGCAATGAAAGTGGACACGAATCCTTTCGAAGTCCAAGTGGGATATATTGAATCCCAAATTGAGATAAATGATGATGTCAGATTAACGAACGCCACCTTCATAGGCATGGTCGATGTTACTGAAGACATCGATCCCAAGCATGTCAGGATGGACGTATCCGAAGAAGATATGGAATTTGATCTGAGTGAGTTCGAGAAGGAATTCGAGAAGGAGATATACCCTCAAGCAGGAGATTCCCTCGTTGAATTCCTGAACAGAAAGAAAGAAAAAGACGAAGATGTATCGCTATGCCCACGATGCAGTGCAGTGTTCGATAAATCGGCTGCCAAAGCTTTCAGAATAGAACAAACAAAGAAAATCGAGAGTCAAAACAAAAGGAAAAATGACAAAGTGGAGCAAACAGTCCGACCAACTATCGAAGAAAGTCAACAGAAATCTGTTGGATCTGGTGTTAGCGGAAATCAAAGGCAATGGGTTAGAAGAGAGATGTACCCCTCTCGAGGAGGAAGAGGAAGACTTCAAAGTAGTGATGTCTTCGAGAGACTATCATATGATGAAGGATCGAATATTGGGTTCCCAACATTCCCAAGAAGGTTCCGAGGAAGGCCCTGGAGAAGAGGAGGAAGGATCCCTTACTGGAGTAATTATAGAAACTTTGAAGAGAATATTGTACCGATGGAAAGCCAATATGCAAGAGAGTTTTTCGATGATAAAAATGAAGGCAACTGGAATGAACATCAAATCGGAGTGATATCGATATTGCCTGCGGAATATGTCAACGAATACAAAGAATATCAAGAACAGAGTGATGCTGATCGAGAAGATGACTTCTATTCAGAAAGCATAAGGCCAAAGGTAACATGGGTAACTCAAGCATCATGCGAAGTACCTCACAGAGATGCTGCCTTCATCGATCCCCCATCTGA